GTTCTTTTGCGCGCACATGACCGGTCGGCGTAGCCTGGTGGTGGCCGCTTCTGCCGTAGCTGTCCAATAAATTTTGAATAGCCTGAGGGTACCTTGTAGATCACTCGGAAGTCCTCTTTGGCATCCACCCGATGGTCTGAGTCTACCAGAAGCGCTAGGATGGACCTGTTTACACCCTTTAGTTGGCCCTTCCCTAACCATGCTAGAATGTGTTCTCGTATGTAAAGGCCTGATGAGAATTATCGAAAACAAAGCTATGTTCCCTATTTCATCTTCTAGCTGAGTTAGTTTGTTTTTTTGGCACATTTAGCGTTGCAGTGATTGAATATTTCAGTCCTCCGCATTGGAGAACCAGGTTCCTTGATGTGGCACCTTTTGCCAGTTTGATGTAGAGCTCATGTTTTCAAAGTCGGGTTCGACAGTGTTTTTGTGCACCGCTGACTCAGAAGGCTGACCTGAAATGCTCATCAGCTACTTGATTTATGAACCGGAAGTAGGTACTGTTCGTTCTTTCCTCACTGTAATTCTGCTCACTCTTGCTTATCACTATTTTCTCCCAGGAAGTGGGAGCTATCACCGCTTTCGGTGGAAAAACTATCCTATCCTAGTTCTCTGTCGAGACTCCCTATTCAGCTTCAATTTTCGCCACAGAGCTTGCTGCCTTCCTCGCAGGGTTTTCCTTTTTGCTCTTTTACCTTTTGCCTCTCCGGCTGAGAGGATGTAGCTCTGATTGAAGTTGCGCCGGATGGTACGGACTTCGCTTGCATCCTTTAGAAAACTGCTTAGTCGTGTGCAATTTTTGATCCAAGAGGTTCTGTAATATGTCATTCTATGAATCAATCTTTACGTACGCTGTTTGAGCTGCAGAAGCGCCGGGTTCGATTTTCCTTCCTATGTCGCTGAAATTTCTTATTCTGTCTTTGATCACGCAGTTTTTCGGCAGCCTAACCGTTGCGGCATAGTTCACCTATCCGCGACACACTGTTATCAACTTTGTGTTGCAGCTGCTTCTATCTTGTTCATCTCTCCCCCCCTTGGCCATATAGTTGGCGAGCTTTGTCTTCTGGCCAGCTGTCAGGGTTGGTGGTCATTAATCCTTACGCTATCGTCTTGTTCATTCTATTTATAGCCGTCGGTCTATCACCAGATCATTGCCCTCTTCACAGAACTCAGCATCAAATCGGCCAAGTTATGCATCTTCAGTGGACCATTGCCAGATCCGCGTTCTATGTGAGTCGCCCGTCAAGCCTGCACATCATTTACTTTTTCATAAATATTCCATGAATCTAACAGACCGACTCCATTACTTGCATCCGATTTTCCGAGTTATTTGTTAATCCGGACTCTTGTACGCAACATTCCCAGTAGATTTCCAGTGATGTAACCGTCCAGCATCTGTACGTTTTTCTTGTCCTTGCCAGCCTCTGAGGACGTCGTAAATTATGGTGTTTGACTCTGCGCGCTTACTTATGCTTATTTTTTTTTCAAGTATAAGTGCTGTATTGAACCCTTACTAGTCTACTTATCTACTCTTCAGCCGGGGTGTGCATCCCACGGAGGGCAGGGTTGGCTTTGTTAATGCGCAACTTTATTTCGCCTCCGATTTTGATGCTCCTTTAGATGAACCTTCCACGATAGAGCAATCTGTCTGCGACTGTGCTTGTCGTTGGCGTCGACTGAGTCCTT